GAGTAGCTATTAAGGAAAAAGAAGTGGTTTTACACAGGGCCAGCGAGGCGGTGAATGACCTGCCCCCTTGTTCATGTTTTCTCGAGTAGTGGAAAGGTGGAAGGCCAGCAGAACGGTGAGCCAGCCCCGGGCCCGGCGGAGCCAGCCATCCCTTCTGATGCCACAGCGTCGGGCACTGCCGGGAGTCATCCGAGTGATCAGATAGTACAGAAAATAGAGGAAGTCCTCTCTGGGGCCCTTGAGACTGAGCCACAGCTTAAATCAGGTAAATTAAAACAAGGGTTTCACTTGGCGAGTGTGTTTTTTCTTTAAGGAGGACACTGTTAGGCTTAAATATAGTCCTTTTTTTAAAAAGAGGGATGTGTTTAGAACAACCCTCCTTTAAGCTTTTGTATTGTTTTACAGTCATTTTACTATCTTTTCTGTTGCTGTGTTGAATAACCCGTGCAAGTTAGGGTCCGTTGATGGACAGATGTGTTCTAGAGCAGCGTTTCTCAACCTGTGGGTTGCAAGAATATATGAAAGGGTTGTGAACAAACTTAAAAAATGGATTATCGTTTAAAGGAGGAAAACGTGGGAAACTGTGGCTTTTCCCATGCAGGCTGGCAGAGCTCCATCTTGCGAGGGACTGCTTGGGGCGCCCCATGCCCCACACGCTCACCCTCTACCCTGCACAGAGGAGCTGGGGGCAGAGGATAGTGGGTCGAGAGTGAGGGGCACTGGGTCGGGACCGGCCACTGATGTTTACACATGGGTCCTGGTACAAAAAAGGTTGAGAACCATGGCTCTAAACCAGATTTTTTGGCATGTGTGCCCATACCCCATCCCCTTTCCTTGCCCAAGCTGCTGCTTTGCTTTCTGCTTCCTGGTCTGTTTTCCCTTCCCAATCTTTTGCTCTGTGTTCTGCTTCCTTCCCCCTGTTCCTTATTTCATTTGGTGCTCTGCTTTGTTTCCTGCCCTGCCTGGCACTGTGCTGCTTGTCCCCTCCCTCATCTGCCACAGGCCACACACAGAGGTTGCCCAGGCCACTTGTGGCAGGCTGGCCACTCCTGTTCTAGGCCCTGAAAGTGATTTATCCACCAAGTGCTATTGAGCACGCAAAGGAAAAATAACTCGTATCTCATTTTTTTTCACCAGTTACTCTACATTTAGGTTGTTTATGACTGCAGTAGGTAGGAAAAATAATCAGCAGCACAGTTTAAGGATTACTTTAATTGTTACATACTTTGCTATGCAGTTCATATTCTGACAAAACTCCCGCTGAAAGCTGATGGACATTTTCCTGCATCAGGAGTGTAGATTTGCTATGCTAGCTTACTTTAATAATTTATTCTAAGTTATCTTGTCTCTTACTGTAAACCACGTTAAGCTTTCTTGGTGAAGGGTGACCTACAAATCTAATAAATAGCTTTCCAAGCTAAAAAAAAGTAGGATCAAGAACGTGCATAACGTAAGGGTTATTCCTTGTCTTAGGCCAGATCCAGGCTGTGGGGCTCTTTGTGGGCCACAGATGGACATGATAGCGAAGGATGTCCCCTGCTACTGGCATGTGTCCCTAATAGGGCTCTGTACCAAGGATTTCAGTGGTGGGCCCCCACCCCTCCTTATTCTGCCCCCAAATTCTGGCTGCACTGGGAGTCATGTGGGCCAGACAGTAAGGTGTTGTAGGCCACGTTTGACATCTCTGGTATAAGGTGTGAAAGGACGTATATTGTTTTTCACAGTATTAATGAGTGCAGTTACCAAATTCAAAACTGAGATTGCATAAAGATTTTTTTTTTTGCTACAGCAGTCCAACCTTTGAGGTGCCTAATTTCAGAGTACTGTGCAGCTGGAGTATTGTGTCCAGTTCTGGGTACCAAACTTTAACAAGGGCATGGACAAGCTTGAGAGAATCCAAAGAAGAGCCATCCATATGCTCAGGGTCTTACATGGTGAGCCATATGAGGAAAGGCTGAGGGATCTGGGACTCTTCAGCCTGAAGAAAAGGCAGCTGAGAGGGGACCTGGTAGCAGCTTACCGCTACACTAGAGGAGTACATCAAGGACTCGGTGAGCAACTGTTCACCAGGGTGCCCTTGGGAAAAACTGGGAGTAATGGCCACAAACTCAGGCTCAGTGTTAGGAAAAACTTATTCACAGTCAGGGTATCCAGACTGTGGAATAAGCTCCCTTCAAAGGTGGTGCAGTCACCTACCGTGGAAATCTTCAAGAGGAGACTACACAGTCCCCTTGCTGGGGTCACCTGACCCCGAGTTATCTTTCCTGCTTGGTGCAGGGAGCTGGACCCAGTGATCTTCTGATGTCCCTTCCACCCTTACAATCTATGAATATTTCCCTATTTGACCTAAAGTTCTCTAGGTACCTGCAATTCTGTTTTTTGAACATGTTCAGAATTTTTTGAGTCTGAGAAGTGCCTAGAACCTACTAATATCCAATAAGAATCAATGATTTTCTTTCACATTATCCACATCCTACCATCCCTTCCCCCCAAGTCACCTGTGGAACAGTTGGGGTGTTCATTATATTTGAAGAAAAATGCTCCTTGTAGGTCTGGAAATTTGGCGGGGGGAAGGAGGGCAGAGCAGTTGCAGGATTTGGAGTCATGGCAATTAATGCTGGTACTGCTTCTCCTCCCCTCCTGCTATTGCCAAATTTCCGGACTCATGGGGAGCTCCCCCTTCCTCCCCAGCTACGTGCTGGATCAAGCCTGGTTGTAGGGTTGGCTCATGGCTGGACCTAACACTCCAGGTCCAACCCCCATGTGCTGGCTCTGGAGTCATCTGTCTGGTTGGACCCAGTGTGCTAAGTCTGGGTCTCTGTATTGTCTTTGAGGCTGTGTTTTTTGGGTTGTACCAGCGTTGTGGCTCCAGCCCCAGGGCCGATGCAGCCAAAATGGGCCCTGCTGCAAGGCTCTGATCCCAGAACTGGTATAGCCACGTTGGGCCCTGGCACATAGGGTCAGGGCCAGCTCCCAAGCCCCCAACCCTGGCACATGGGTCCCAAGACCCCAGCCACAGTGTGGAGCCCTCCAGCTCAGTTGCGCAGCCCTGGAGACCCCAGCTCTTAGCTACTTACCTGTACTCTGAGGTAAGATTTTTTTTTTTCCCTTGGGGCCTTCCCAAGGTAAGGTGCAAGTTCTGTTTTGGGGGTACATTATATGTAGGGACCTATTTAAATTACAGCAAGACAAAGGGCTTTTGGCAGCCTCCTCATGGCGCACAGAGCCATTTTGAACTGGGGCCTGCCCTTTGGCAATGATTGGTAGAGAGGCCATGGTAGGGGGAGGAAGGACAAGGAGACAGCCACCATTTTGTCTGCTGCCCTTTGTGCCACCTGCCAGCCAGCACTTTTTCCTCAGGGCAGGGAGTACCACTGGGAAGCTGGCATTTTATTTTAATTAGTTTATTTGTTGTTAATTTTGTAGATTTCACAGATAAGTCTGGATTTCATGATTTCTGAAAAAACACAAATTAAGTGGGTCCCTAACTATATGCAAGAAAATGTAGTAGGTGCTGCTACCCTAAAGTTTTCCCTGTGAGGCCAAGATCAGCTCCTTGCGAGCTGCCATGCTTGTAACTTACTTTCTATTGGGTATGATGGAGGAATAGAAGGAAACCTAGTGGTTAAAACTTAGGGAGTTCAGAGGCTTGGGTACAGTGACCTCTTATCTGCTTGGAAGGGAGTTTAAACTTCCATCTTCTGCCTCCTATGAGAGTTCCCTCACCCATAGGTAGATTAATGCTTGAGCCACCTGGGCATGAGCCCAGGGGCCCCTACCACTTCGGGGTCCCAGGATCCTGATCAGCAGGGAAGCAAAAAACTAGGTTTAAATTTGGCATGTTTCTGTCTCCTAGCAGAGAGGCAAAACTGGTGCCACGTTTAAAACCCTGGCTTTTCTATTTGCTTCCCTGCAGCCGGGAGCGGAGCCCCTCCCCTAGTGGGGCTGCGGGAGCCAGGAGTGCTGTGCCTGTGGGGAGTCAGGAGCATCATGCTGAGCTGTGTCTCTGCAGGCTGGCAGCGGCCCTGGAGGGGGCATAGCCCCCCAAAATTCAGCGGAGCCACCATAGACACCCCTCCCAGCACTGCCACCCGCACACAGAGGTGCGATGCTGGGCTCCTGGCCTGGTGCACATGCACAGCCGCAGGGACACATGCTGGGCAGCAGCTCCCTGCTGGTCAGTGCAGCAGGGGCTGGGTGAGAACAAGATAGAGCCATGTGTGGGGAGGGGGAGAGGGAGCTGCCTCAGAGTGCTGGGGAGGGGGGAGTTTGCACATGTGTGTGCACGCTTATCTGTGTGTCAGTGCATCTGAGCGTGCGTGCATGTTTGTTCATGGCAGGGAGAGTATGTTTGTGTCTGTGTGCAGAGAGTAAGTGAGAGTAGTATGTATGTGCCTGTATGTGTGTATGTTTGGCTATAGCAGGGGGGGCAGGTAGCAGGGAGAAGAGGCGGGCATGTGCCCCTCAGCCTGGCAGGGTCCACCCAGCCTCCCCCACCAGCACCAGGAGGGGATGCTGGTAGGGGGCCTCCAAGTTGGCGTTTGCCCAGGGCCCTAGTACACATTAATCTGCCTCTGCCCTCACCATAGGGCGGGGTGGGCAATTATTTTGGGCAGAGGGCCACTTACGCAGTTTTGTCAGACTGTTGAGGGCTGCGTGGGTAGTTCCACACCTTGATAGGTGCCCGACCCCCTGGTCACCATCTTGGGACCAATGTCTCAGGGCCAGCACCAGTGGGACCTAGAGTGGGGTGCAGTCTGGCAGGGAAAGGGGGGAGCTGGCCTGGCTCCATAGAGCCCTTGCCAGCCAGGACCGTGTACTCCTGCTGACCTGCTCTGGGCCCCACCGGTGCTGGTCCCGGGACACCGGTGTGGGTCCCGTGCACCTGCTCACTCCCAGTGCTCCCCCCAGTCCTGCGGTACAGGTTGGAGGCAGCATGCAGCCCTGACACTGTGCTCTGTGGCAGGGGGGAACGAGGTGGTTCTGAGAGCAGGGAAAAGCGGCCCTTTGCCTGCCCCATGCCTGGCGGCCCATGCTGCAGCTGCTCACAGCCTGTGTGGGGCTGCCTGTGTCTGTTCAGGACAGCCCTCCGTGGGGTGGGCTGTGAGCGCCAGCCACAGGTCAGGGAGGGGCTGCTTTTCCCTAGGGTCCTCCCCTTTCCCCTGGGTCTTACTGCCCCTGGTTCCGGTCATTTTTTACAGGAATCAAAGACAAAGAAATATAAATTTTCTAAAATTTTTAGGGGCCCCACAGGCCAGATAGAATGGCCTCCGGCCCATGGGCCATGTTTTTCCCACCTCTGCCATAGGGCTATATCAATGGTTCTTAACCTTTTTAGACTTAAGGCAGCCCTCAGAAAATGTCAGCTCTGTTTTCACTTGTTTTTAGTCTACGGAAAAATAGTAGAGCATTTTTTCTGTTGCAGAGAAGTTGGAAAGATCATGATTCCAGATTTCTGCATGAGATCTCTGGGTTTATCTTATAAATTGTGTTTGTAAACCTTACAGTACTAACACTGTGTGGCAGCCCACAGCACCCTTGAAATTATCTAATGGCATCCCAGGGTGCTGTGGCACTCTCTGGTTGAGAATCACTCGGCTATAGGCTAATCCAGGGCTTGGCAGTCTTTGGTTTATGGCCTGCTTGAAGTCCACAAAGAAGTCGGGATGCCACCTGTTCCCTCCACTGCTATCTTTGCCTGTGCTTACCTTTACTGCAGATTTTGCCATTCTCCATTGTCACTGGGGAAGAGGATTGTTAGTGTGAGTAAGCATAAGTGATTTGGGTGCTCCAGGGATTGGATATTTGTGGCCTGTAGTGGCAAAAGATTTCTGACCTATGAGCTAGTCTGTTTGGGGCATTTTTTTTACTTCTGTGGAAACTGGACTGATGTGCTGAAAGGAATGGAAGATTTTTGGCCAGGAAGAGTGTGGGGTCAGAAAGGACCTTGTTTGTCGGCAAGTGTCAAGGATTGCAACAGTGTACCATTCCAGTATATCAATCCCAGGGGAAACATTTCAAAATAAATGCTACAGCCTTCTCTATACCCAGGTAGGGGGCACTAGCACAGGCTGCAGGGACACAGGGTTCTGTTCTTGGTTTCTGCCACCTCCTCCTATCCTAGAGACAAGAGGTATAAGTGCAGGAGAGCAGAGAGGCAAGCAGGCCACCAGGAGTCTGACACTCCAGCTCCTGTTTCCTCCATCTCTCCTTCCCCTTCTCAACAGAGTGGAAAGGTACAGGGGACTTGAGCCCAGAGGATTTAGGAGCAGTGGCATGGGTAGGGGGTAGGTGGTGGGGTGTGGCTGGGGTTTCAGTGGCTCTCTCTGTCTTCCCAGTCGAGATGTTACAACAAGTGAAATGCTCCGAAAATAGTATGTCATGTAAAAAAGTACTGTTTTGAGCTGTTTTCATTGTTTTTGCAATGTTTCAAACAGCTTGTACGTGTGGACCAATAGCTCTTTCAAAGACATTTGAAACTAATTGGCTGCTTGCAGATGGGTGGTGGGGGACGTGCTTTACTTTAAAATTGGCATGCTCTAATGCTAAGCCCAGTGCATGCCCAGAAGAGGCAACATGTTAGTTGGGCTCAGCTCTGCAACATCTGTATAGATTGGGCACTTAAATCTAATGGTTGATTGAATCAGCTATTACATAAAAGCACCAAAAAGCCATGCTGAAGCACCTGATCTATTCTGATGCTGAAGAGCCAGGTTAAACTAATGCATTGCTACTTCTGGTAAAGCAGTTTGTTTGTCTGCATGCAGGTTTTGTTACTTGTTGTCCACACCCCAAAATTATTAGTAAGGAAGTGGTTCTGGGTTCTGATCTCTGCTTCCAAAACTGTTTCTGCATTTTGCAAAAAAAAAAAAAAAAGAATTTAAATTTACATTTGAATTTAAGTGAAAAGCCCAGTGTTTTTAAAAGTTTCTGAAGTTATGGAACACTGTCATCACACTTCTGTCACGGACCCCTTACCCTTGTCTTTAAGACTGTGGTGACCTGTCCCAGTTGTGGTAGCGCATCACAGCCTGGCCTGCTCCACCATTGTCCCCTTGTGACCCATTGTAGAAGCCCAGTGTTTGGCAGAATGCAGTTTGCAAGCCACTGGTTTAACTCAGATTATTGCTTAAATGGTAAGCACTGCTGTTCTGTTCTTTCTCTTCAACCAGCTTAGGATCCAGCTCTAGATTCCAGGTGGATGCCTGTAGCTTTCACAGCCTGTAACTTGTATTTAGATGCCTATGCTTGTAGAGAGGAAGATGGTTTCAAACACTCCTTTCTGTAGCATTTACTGTTAACTAGGGAATAAGGGGTTTTCTGCTTGGTGTGGAAATTTATTTTGTGTGCCTAACTCCTTTTGCTCTGTGTAGGGAACCATTATACCCAATTCTGGGCTTTTAATTATGTTCTGGGAACCAGTTGCCTAGAATTTGGAAGTTGAAGCACTGAACTCATACAAGTTTATCTTTTTTTTTCCCCCTTTGATCTTGCACTTACTTGCTACCCCTGTATGAGGTCCATCTGTTTCTGTTGCACTATATTAAGTGCATAGTTTAGTGTGCCTGGGTCTTGGCAGGATCAAGGCTTTAATGATCACTTATCAGTACCTTAGTAAAGTCTGATTTTAGTTTCAACTAAAAGTATCTTCTGCTTTTATTTCATATTGGATAGTGGTAATGGGTAAATTTTACTTTTTAGCTGCTTTGCTTTTATCACAAGTTCATAGATACTAGGGGCTGGAAGGGACCTCAGGACATCATTGGGTCCACCCCCCTGCACTTGGGCAGGACTTTCTTTTTTTTACTATATCATTAAAGTAAATCACCATTTTTTTTGTCAAATAGTTAAGATTTTTCTGTACTAGCACAGGGATGCTCAACGTCTGGCCCATAGGCCGGATCTAGCTCGTGGAGCTGTGTGATCTGGCCTGTGGGTCCCAAGGGTCTGGAAATTTGGCAATGGGGAAGCAGTAGCAAAATTAACATTGCCACTGGTTCCCCATTACCAAATTTCCAAGCCCCTCAGGCCAGATGATACGGCCTAGTGCATAGGATCTGGCTGGCACTTTGGGCACCCCACCTCAGTTCCAGCTCTGAATCTGGTGCAGAGCTGGTGCCTGGGCCTGGATACATCAGATCAGGCCCACAGGCTGACTCCATACCACTACGGGGCCACAAGGTTGCATACCGCTGTGTAGTGGGTCTGGCACTGGGGTCATCAGTCACCCCTTGGCTGCCACCTGGACCCCACTTTGCTTGTTCTCTCTGGCCTCTCAGGGTCCCACACTGTTGTATTTCCTGCCACAACTTAATGTTATGATTGGACAGGAAGGCTGCCTCTAGAGCCTGGGTGGGCAGTTATTTGCTGCTGGAGGGCCCACTTAAGGCATTTTGGTGAACTGTTTTAGGGGTGGGGGGCAATAGATCTGGTACTAGGCCATCTCTGTCCTGCACCCACTGCCGGAGGCACTGGACAGGGTGGGTGGGGTCTTCATGAAGACTAGCTCAGGACTCCTGTGAGCAGAACAGGCTTGGCCATGCAGATGGGATGGTGCCACAGGTGGGCAGGGAGTAGGGTGATGATGATGTAGGGCTGGGGTCTGGGGAAGAGCTGTGATCAGCTCCCCGCATGCCCACACACCCCTGCCTGTGGAACTGGGTGCAGGGACATGCGGGGAGCAGATTGTGGCTCTGCTCTCCACTTTCTGTGGGCTAGATCTGGTTTGCCCACCCCTGCTCCAGAGGGTATGGGGGTCTTAGGCCCTTGTCTGGGCTGAAGCTTTGGCCCACTTTACTCTGGTTGGGCCCATTCTACCTGGGATTTGCTGTCGCAGGACTGTTGGCTCCCGTGCCCCAGCTCCAGGCGTTCCATCGTGGGCTTTGGGACCCTTGGCCCCTGGTTGTGCCCTCGTGGGCTCTGGGCTTGTGCCCCCAGTCTTTGCTATCTAGTACTACAGTCCTTCTGCTAACAGCAGTGGTGTAGACCCTTCAAAGGGCCTAGGTCGGGAGCTGGGGTGCCCTTGGCATTCTTGGTGGTCTCCTCCACCTCTACAGCCACAACCTGATCTCTGGAATCTAAATACAAACAAAAACATATGATCTTCTGCTCTCAAACAAAAGGCTACCATGTGTTAACACTACACTGTGGGAAAGCTACTATGTAAGGCTCCAAATTATTTATGTGCATGTCTGGTGCTGCAGGGGCTTCCTGCAGCTTCCCTGCAGCCTGGAGTCCTTCCTCCGTGTCCCATCAGGCCCTATTCCTCCCTTAAGTTCTTCTTGCAGCTAGCAGGGCCAGACTGCCTTGCTTGCTTCAGGTCCTGGGCTTATTTTTCTCTCGTGGCGGGGGTGGGGGGTGTCACCTGACTCTACTTCTGTCCCAGGTCTGTCAGTCATTGGTTATACTATGTTGGTCACATATAAGGCAGGTGGCCATTTTATTCAAGGGCCTTCTGTCGCTATTAGTTTGTCCAGGTGGCTGGTGATGGCCAGCTGATCCTTGGCTCCCCCTCTTCTTCAGTGATTGGGTAGGAGCCCCAGAATGCACTGTATTAGCAAAACAATTTTAAGAAAAAAACTTTGAAAAACCCATAAAGGTTTTTTTTGAACATGTAAACCAGATTCCAGGTTAATTTTGACGTCAATTTAAAAGATGCATATTTAGCAAGTAAAGTAAAAGCTTTGGCTAAGCTTAGAGTTTGGTAAATTTGGCATCTGTTTATTCTGCTGCTGCTACATTTTGTATTTTTTACATTTTCTTTCAAAAGTAATCATACATTTCCTGTAAATATTTTATTTACTGATCAAAGGAAAGTTTTTTGTTGCATAATGTGAATCAATCTAGTTTGTTGTTTTAAGTGTAAAAAGCCTAGTAAAAATTGACAAGAAGCAGTTTAAATTCTTAAATTTATCTTTTAAGAAAATTTATTATCTTTCTTACCTAGGCATCTTTCATGTACTTGCTAGTGAAAAAGTCACTTACATTGTATAACACATTGATTTTTAAACTGTGGGTTTAATTTCCCTCTCCCCAAACGTAAGTTAAAAGATGAAACAAAATATTTATTTTAATAGTTTTAAAGAAAATGTTCTTTCTTTTTAGATGTAGATGTAGACACAGCAAAGAGTACATCTCAGTCTTCAAAAAGAGGTCCTACTGATGAAGTAGAAGATGAAATTCCAAGAAAAAAGTCCAAGAAAAACAAGAAACACAAAAGCAAGAAGAAGAAGAAGAAGAAGAAGAAGAAAAGGAAGAAAGAAAAAAAACATAAGAAGCAGCCAAAGGAATCAAAATCGAGTGCACAGCATGGAGGGCATGCAGACTTACAACCTGCTTCTCACTTGAAACCAGAAAAAATGATTGCAGAGCATGGAGACCATGCAGTTTCAGATCATGCCTGCCACATGCAGTCAGAAGAAGTGAGCTCAAAAATAAGTGAAGAACATGGAAGACATTCAGGTATAGGACTTGTTTCTCATTTGCTATCAGATTCTCAATCTCTGGAAAACCTTCAGAGTGAAAAAACAAACTTGACCATCAGTGATACATGCAGTGCATTCAATTTACAAACTGGCAAACTTGATCACCATGAAGAGAATGCTAGTATAACTACAATTAAAGATTGCACTAAAGAAGAGCCAGCTAAAGTAAAGCAGCTGAGTGAGCCTCATGAAAGTATGTATCATATAGCTGTTAACATGAGTGAAAATGATGTACCTTTGACTGTTGATGCTGAAAGTGGTACTTCATTTACCAGTAGAACTAGAGTTGCTAGTAAGTCTGAAATTGAAAAAGATTTGGAAGCTGCTTCAACCTCTGGGAGAATAAAAGCGCTTGAAGATTCAAAAACTATTCTGAAATCTGTGAGCACTGGGGAAACAAAAGATTCAGAAACAACCGCAGAATCAGAGGCCACAGCACAAGTGAAATACCTTGAAACAACTCTAAAATCTGTGACTGTGGCGGGGACACACATTTTGGAAACATCTCTAAGATCTCAGTCTCTGGGAAGTGATTTGGTATCTGTGTCAAAATCTGTGGCTGAGATGGAGGTTTTGGAAACAAGCGAAGGACCTATGCACGCGACAGAGGTGAAACATTCAGAAGCGACTACAGGTTCTGCGCTCGTGGGAAATATGAAAGATTCAGAAGCAGCTGTGGAGCCTGTAATTGTGGCAGGCACAGAAACATTCTTGGAATCAGTGACTGGGGCAGATAAAGAGTCTGTGCACATAGGGGACATGAAAAATTCAGGTAAAGTTCTGGGACCTGTTGCTGTTTTGAAGGCTTCGGAAGCAGCCCTGGCAGCAACGGCTGTGACGGAGGTGAAAGGTTCAGAAGCATCTATGGCATCTGTGCATGTGGGTCATAGGAAGGATTTAGTCTTGAAATCTATGGCTATAGCGCATGTTTTAAAAGCAGTCCAGGAACCTGTGTCTGTGATGGAAGTAGAAGGTTCAGAATCAACTCAAGAATCTCTACAAATTGAAGAACTCAAAGATTCAGCTGCAGCTCCAGAGCTTATGAGAGGGGCAAAAAATACTGAAACTGCATCAGAATCTCCAACTATAGTTCCTGAAGCAACTCAAGAAATTGTGCCTATAGAAAAGGTGAGAGGCCCAGAAAAATATCTGAAAATGAAAGGAGAGAGTGCTTCAGTAACGATCCTAGAATCCTCAGCCAGGCCAGAAGCAAAAGACCCACAGTTAATCCACGAGCATATGGCCATGGTGGAGGCTAAAGTATTGGAAGCAGCTCCGTTGTCACTTAAAATGAAAGGTGTGAAAGTTCTAGAAACAACCTTAGATACAATGGCAACAGAGAAAAGAGTTGAAACAATTCCAGTATGTCTGCAAATGGATGATACAAGAAATTTAGAGGCAGCTGCAGGAACTGTGGCAGAGGTGAAAAGTTTGGAAGCAACATCTCTATCTCCGCAAACAAAGAGTGTCAGAGATTTGGAAGGAAAACTAGGATCTGCGGGTCTGGTGAAAGTTTTGGAAGGAGCACTAGAACCTGTAGTTGTGGCGGTTGATTCAAAAGTGGCCTTAGAACCTGTGGCAGTGACTAAGTTTCCAGAAACAACTCTGCAGCTGGAAGGTGCAAAAGACTCAGAAAGGGCAGAATTACCTCAGTTGTCCATGCAGACAGAACATACAAAAGCTTCAGAAGTAGCTCTTGGGTCTGTAGCTGTAGCAAAGATGAAGACTTTGGGAGCAGTTGTAGAGTTTGTGGCTCTAACAAAGGTGAAGGATTCAAAAGAAACTGTAAAATCTGAGGTCACAATAGAGTCTAAAGATAGGGAGAAGTCAAACAAAAGAGCTTTAATCTCTGAGACATCAAAGGTGAAAAGCTTGCAAACTGTTATGGAATCAAAGGCGGCATCAGCAGAAGTGAAGCTTTTGGAAGCATCCAGATTTGAAGTAATGTCTGAGATGAAAGACTTCGAATCAGTTGTAGAACAAGTGGCCACAGCAGAAGCCACGTCTTCAGAACTATCTCTGCAGTCTCAGGCAGTGGCAGAGCTGAAAGCTTCAGAAACGCCTATGGAAGTTCAGGCCATGGCAGAAGGAAAAAACTTGACATCTCTACCATCCAAAGTCATGACAGAAGCAAAAGAGTTGGAAATAACTCCACAGACTGAGGCTGTGGTAGAGGACAAAAATTTTGAAATTGCTCCAAAGTCTGTGGCTGCCATAACAGACAGAAGATACTTGGAAACTACAGCAGAATTTGAGACTATGCCAGAGGTGAAGGAGTTGGAAACCGTAAAAGACTCTGAAGCAGTTCTTGAATCTGAGACCATCACAGGGATGAAAGTTCCAAAATTGCTACCCATAACAATGGTAAAAGCTTTGGAAGCACGTTCAGAATCTCTGCCCTTGGCGGATGTGCAAAATTTAGAATTAGGTAGAGTCTGTGACAGTATGACTGTGGTTACTGCTGCAGAACCTAACATCATCACAGAGGCAAAATGTTTAAAACCTATTCCCGAATCTCTGCACACAAAAAGTATAAGAGATTCAGAAGCAGTTCCAGAACTTCTGCACACAGCAGTGGTAAAAGTTGCAGGATCAACAGTAGAATTGGAGGCAGGAGAAGTGAAAAATTTGGAAGCTACTTCAAGATATGCGATTGAAAAAACAAAACCTGTAGAAATAAGAGATTCAGAAACTGTTCTAGCATCTGAAACCATGATGGAGGTGGAGGTATTAGAAACTACTTCAGAATCTTCTATCAGAGCAACATTAAACAATTCAGAAACTATTTCAATGCTTAATGCTGACCAAAAGAAAGATTTTGAAATGGCTTTAAAAGCAGAGGCTTTGGTAGAAATGAAAGATTTGGAAGTAGCTCCAGAAATGTTGGGCACTGCAGAAGTGAAATGTTTGGAAGAAGTTCCAAAATCTGCAAGCGTAACACAGATGATAACATTGCCTTATGTGAAAGATTTGGGAACAGTGATAGGTGTAGAGGATTTCAAAACTTTACCAGGTCATACTGCAGATGTGAAAATTCCAGACCCAGATCAAGAATCTAAGTTAATGGTGGAAGTGAAAAGTTTGGAAACAGTAACCATTGCAGAGGCAAAAAATTTAGAAGCAACTACAGATTCTTTGCATACAGCTCATGTGACAACTTTGGAAGCAGGCCAAAGACCCAAGGTACCACCTGGGGTAAAAGTCTTAGATGCAGCTCTGGGACCTGGACCTGTGTTGCTGGCAGTGGCAAAACTCTCAGAAGCTGCTTCACGGCCAGGACCTCTAGTGCCAGCAGGGGTAAGAGTCTCAGAAATTGCCTCAGGGCCTGAACAAGTGGTACCAGCAGTAGCAAAAATCTCAGAAGCTGCCTCAAGGCCTGTACCTGTAGCACTGACAGGGGCAAGAGTCTTGGAAGCTGCCCCAAGTTCTAGACCTGTGATGCCAGCAGTGGCTTCAAAGCCTGGACCTGTAATGCCAGCAGTGACAAAAGTTTCAGAGCCTGTCCCAAGGCCTGGGCCTGCAGTGCTGGCAGTGACAAGAGTTTCACAAGCTATTCCAGGACCTGTGGTGCCAGCAGTGGCAAAAGTCTCGCAAGCTGCCCCAGGGCCTGGGCCCTCAACACCAGCAGTGGCAAAAGTCTCGCAAGCTGCCCCAGGGCCCGCGGCGCCGGCAGTGGCAAAAGTCCCGCAAGCTGCCCCAGGGCCCGCGGCGCCGGCAGTGGCAAAAGTCCCGCAAGCTGCCCCAGGGCCCGCGGCGCCGGCAGTGGCAAAAGTCCCGCAAGCTGCCCCAGGGCCCGCGGCGCCGGCAGTGGCAAAAGTCCCGCAAGCTGCCCCAGGGCCCGCGGCGCCGGCAGTGGCAAAAGTCCCGCAAGCTGCCCCAGGGCCCGCGGCGCCGGCAGTGGCAAAAGTCCCGCAAGCTGCCCCAGGGCCCGCGGCGCCGGCAGTGGCAAAAGTCCCGCAAGCTGCCCCAGGGCCCGCGGCGCCGGCAGTGGCAAAAGTCCCGCAAGCTGCCCCAGGGCCCGCGGCGCCGGCAGTGGCAAAAGTCCCGCAAGCTGCCCCAGGGC